TGGCAGAAAGGCATTAGTTAATCAGAATGGCAGTCACTTTCTGATTTGAAGGAAACAGCTGTATTGAAGCTATTTTAATCTTTTCAGTATCTTGAAGTATGTACTTGTAGTGTATATAACTCGGCTACTGGAAAGGAAGTTGCACGTCACTTCTTCTAGCTGTTGGCCTTTGAGTGGTGAATGAGGAAGGGTAAAGTGCACATAATGTTGATAGTCGCCACCAGTCACAGAAAGCCTTGAAAAGAAGGTCAAGGTGCAGATGAAAATGGGTTGATAATTTATGACCTGTAGAAGGCAAACCTAATCGATACAAGGTCAACAATTAACCTTGATTTCCAGAAGCCAGTTAATTAAATCCAGATGGGAAAAGTCAGATAAGCTTGATGAGGTGGGTCACATAGTATTTCAAAATAGGTCATCATATATGTATGTCAAGATAGGTCAAAGTGGTGACCCATGCATATGAAAATTGTCTAAAGGGTAAAAGTGAAAGCTTTTGAAAGGTAAGAATGGAAAGTGAAAGGTAAGAATGGAACAGCAAGATAGCCTTGTATGGAACAGCATGTATAGAGATGTCTAAAAAACATGCCAATTAAAGATCTTGCAGTGCCCTGGGCCTGGTAACAGCTTCAGTTGTAAATTGCTATTATGGATCAGATGAGATCAGATGCCAGTGGTATGTACTGTATATTCAGTTAAATTTGTCATGTGAAAAACCTGACCAATATTGAAGCTCAGGAGACAGGTATCCTGGCTCCACCCATGAGGTCAGAGAAGGATGAACCTGCAATAGAAACTGAACTGTTGGATCAGCCTCCTGAAGCTAAATGTTAGTATATTCTTCTCATCTGATCATTTACCTATCTATCTCTTATTTTCTAGCAATAATCTTTAGAAGGGACTGAGTAATCCTGCCTCTTTTACCTTTTTGCAACTTATCCAGACTCATGATCTAGCACTGCTGTTCTCAAGTATGTCCTTAGTCATTTTGATCCAAAACTTCTTCAATTATCATCATAAAATGCATTAATTTACTCTAATAAGCAATGCATTCAAAAATAAGCATGCTGAACACCAGGCTTCAATAAACATTAAATTCTACTAATTTAAAATTGGTAAAATTGTTATAGCGGATTCATGTAATTTTTTCCCTCAAGGTTGAGAATGACTTTTGCACACTACGTTGTTATTCTCCTGTTGCTAAATTTAGATGCATGTAAGGTAGGAATACAGCTTTCCCAAGCTTTATACTTTGCAGATACTTTGAACTTCAGTTTGTGTATTCTGCAGTGACTGGGGGATTATGGAAATTGAATTCTAATGTATTTAGAAGATACCAGTAGGGGAAGTCTGAAATAACACAATAAATTAATATGAAGAAAATCACATGAGAATTCTTCAGTGTGTTTACTTAACACTATGTAATGTTCACATGGAAAACATGATTTTCAACATCACTAAAAATTTTACATTAATTTCAGAAACAAGCTGGCCTGGTTTAGTTAGAAGAATCATACTGCACTATTTCTTTGAACTTCTAATTTAGTACCAACCTGTGTCAACCTGATTTTACTGGAATAGCAATTTACTGATGCCAAAGCCACCTTGTAAATAAGATGAGTCATCTCAGTCATGCATCCTGGATAAATATCTAAATGAATAACAACTGTGCTGTACAAACATCACTCAAAAATGCAATTAAACTTAAGACTTACTCTGTGCAATAAAGAGAGAAAGAGAGAGAGCACCAAAGCCAAGGATTTTCAAATGAAGTTTCCCTCTCAGCTCGATACCTTCAAGGTCATACTGTGCTGACTCCATTTTTCATAGTCAAAAGAATGATTTAGTAATAATAGTGATAGCGGACAATAGCATTTTATGCCTTCAGTATAATGATATTCAATGTTGCATAGGATAATATATGGGTATTCTTGTTCATGTTTCTCACTGCAGCCACACAAAGTAGATTCTCAGAAGGTACCCTGTACCTCATGAAATTATACTGCAGAGTAGGGAAGGGGAATAAAAGCCACATGAGCACTTAAAAGTGATGCTCATGCTTTTGGACTTTTTTTCTCATTCAACCAAAGTTCAGAAAAACGTGGTCATGTAACACTTCTGTTTTCCATAACCATAGTTCCACCATGGCATCCATAGTGGAGCTGCACTGAAACTGGATGAAGAGATTAATAAAAAATGGAATAGACAAACAGTTTTACCCTCTAGAACTATCTGAGCAGCTGCGCTCCCTCATCAGCCTTCAATCTGGATCACACCATGCCATTACTGGGAATCTGACACACTACAGAAAGAAGCTTGTTATGTCTTGTACATGTGCTCTGATAAAACAGAAACAAAAGCAGAAGAATGGCCAAAAGCCCATTTTTTTCAACAAATTTCATGACAGTTGTTCAATAAATCTTAGCCACGTGGCTATTCTTTCTCATTAACTCTCTCTCATATTCAGCCGTACTGACAGCAAGGGAGTAGAAAGCCAGAGCAAGGATACTGAACATTTCAAAGACTGAGGAAGCCAATCAATATTTTTGGAATCCTCGACTGTGTTTCTTATGCAACGGTAAAACGTTTTCAAGAGAATCACCATAGGAATGTAAGAAACTTATCACACTAGAAATACATCCTATTTACGTAAAATATAATTAATGTCTTGATATTGCCAACATTATCCAGCATGCAGCCCAGAACATAAAGTTTATATAGCACTTCTCAGCCTTTTGATTAAGATCAACTATTGTTTGTATATTCTTTCCTGTTTTTTTCCATGCCACATAAATTCTGAGGGATGTTTTAGGAATCCATCCCATTTCTAGCAACATTCAAACACCCAGACACTCCATATTGTTTCTTCCTTCCTGGGAAATGTTCCTTTTTTAATGTTCGTTGAGATGCTTTTTTAATTATACTTCTTTCTTTGTCCCATCTGAGATAGCTTTCACAGGGCTTGAATTTTGTTTACAGTAGATGAACAGATGGACTGGATGAACAGGAAAACAAATTGCTACAGGGGACTGCATCAGTTCCAAGACCCACATATACTCTTTGCTGATGAGTAGACCAATCATCATTTGGTTAGCTTGGTCAGCAAGTGTTTCAGTATTCCCCATACTACTGTCCCATACTACTGGATGGAACATAGCATTATGAATTTTGGAACAGCAAAGAAGACATAAACATCCAAATGCTAACCCAGTTACATTTTATATCACATTAGCAGGTCTTAGATGATGAGGTGACTCATCATCTGAAATATTTATCATCACTATATCTCCTGCCCTTTGGACACACTAGACTTTAACTTCCATAATCCAAGGTTAGCAAGGTTGTTGGGAATTAAATTATGGAAGTCCAACATATACATGAAGAACCCAGGTTGGGAAGGCTGGTGTCTTCAAACTGAAAGGACTCTATAGGTCCTTAAGAAAGGACATCCTTAAAATCCTTAGGAAAGGATTTTCATTTACGTTGAATGCTAGGGGCTGACCCTCACGCAGCTTCAGATAGTGATGATTGATGCTGTTCTCACGCTACATATCCTATCACCCATGAACCACCCTGACAGTGTCCTTATTTTCTGGCCGCCACTGATTATCTCAGGTTGGCCTGGGCTCTCTTCTTTTCTCTGGGCTGAATAATGTTCAGAGTATATATCATCACTCCAACTAATGCTCCACCATATGGTAAGGAATCAAACCACAAATGATTTGGGACGAGGCAGAGCTATAAGCCTATTGGAAATTATGTCAGTACTGCTCTAGAAAACCATGATTTCTGGTGGAATGGCAAAATCTTGGAGTTGTAATTATGCAAAAGTTCACCTGCCCCTCTTTTGAAGTTAATTGGCTCAATTTGCAAAGACCTGCAAGCACAATCTCCTACATCAAAGTTGCAATATTTCTGTCAAGGTCATTCGTGTGATGAAGGGTTCAGTGCTGATACAGTTCAGCACTAATACTTTGTCTGAATTTGAACAGAAGATGTTTAAGTTTTGATGTAATCTGATTATTCAAACAAAAGGGACTTTAAAATTGATGGATCAAGCCTGTACTTTGTAAATATGGCTTAAGCCTGCGAAGCAAGACTATATCAATAATACTATAGAAATAAGTCAATGACAGACTGAGTACTTTATTGCTATGTTAATTCATATGCAAAATGGTAGAACATTTGGTGTTTCTCTGAAAATGTCACTGTTAACACCTTCATGCCATTCAACAGCTATTAAAAGATTACTATGAAAATAAATCAAATTTGTAAATGCAGCCAGAAACAAAAAATTAGAACTATTCAAAATAAATAAATCCTTATTTTGCCAGATCTTTTTATTTATGTTTTAACAAAAGAAAAATATTCAAAGTGTAGAAAAGAGCTATCATGAAGACATCTTTGTCATCATCACAATTGTGTGCAGGATTGTGTGCTCCTATTTTACCGGTAAGACTCAAAAAAGCAGCATTTAGATGGTCTTTAAGAATCCATCTCCTTAGAAACAGTAGGTGGTAGAAAGAAATTGGTTATAATAAGTGGAGAAGTTATTGGTGTAAAAAGAATGAGACTGCCTACCAAAACAGGTTGTTAATTTTTCGTGTGGTACATGTGAAACAACCTTGCCTTGCTAAAATATTTATTTCAAACTCACAAGGGAGGTATTTCAAGCTAAAATCTTCCCATTTATTTATCCTCTTTCTATTTTTCTCCATGCCATTTTGAGTAGAAAGACGCCTCCGTTTGAAAAAACAAATGCTTATATGAAAAAATAAAGTTAAGAAATGCAAATGTGTTTCTTCTTCTTTTAAATGATCATTTAATTTTTTAAACAGTTCCCTGAGAATGCTGATCTTAATGTATGTGTATTAATAGAGATTGCAAAAGAAATGTTTATTTACCTTCCAAAAGTCTGAACAGTACACATGGGAAGTGAGAAATTAGCAAGAACTCTAGCCACTTCAGCACTCTGTGGAAGAAATACTGGAGTAACATACCTGCATGACAATAAGAAGGTCAAAAACTAAGATGAAGGAAGCCAGGAAGGCTCTTGAAACCTCATCACTGGGCAGAAATCCACGATTCAACTTGTCCCAGCTTATCCAGTCTGTTGTGATAACCAGCACAACCACTGAGGTCAAAGTAAATAAAACAGTCCTAGAAAGAGAAATCCAAAAAGAGTCATTAGAACATAGAAGAGAAGAAAGAAAATTACATAATTACTTTATAGTGATCTTCAAAACAATTTGAAAATAACATCATTTTCTTTGTTATACATGAAGTCCTATTGCACTGATATTCACCTAAATCAATCTTCAACTAGGTTTGTTCTAGATGTGCTGGGCTACACTCCATCATCCCTAGGCAAGTCCCCAAACTACCATTGCTGAAATTTGCTGCTGCTGCAAATAAATTCCAATGAGCCTGTCAAAGAGCTGAGCAATGAGAGGAAGTTTACAATAGTGACTAGAAGAATACTGTAGGATGACCCTCCCCCCCCCGCCAGGTCTGTCCAACACCACTGGGGGCATGTGGGAAATACAACTGTATTGAGGAAGATTGCATGTGGATTTATTCTTCATGCATAAATGTATGACTCTGGGGTGCATATCTAAGAATGGGATAGTGATTATAAATCTTTGCATGAATTGGAAAGAGATGCTGGTATGTATGTGAATGGGTCTACTGCCTTCATGCATTCAGAGAAGGCTCACTCTTAAGTATAGTCAGGAAAGCAACCTTTAAAATTTCACAGATTTAATAGATTTTTCCTATGTTTTTGGCTGTCAACATTCAAAATGATGAGGGGTCACTTTGCTTGCTTGTGAAAGTATGCATATGGATGAATCAATGTGTGTGTGCATGTTCATTGATATGATTTATGAATGACTTGAAGTGCATTGTGTGTGTGTGTGTGCACCCATGTGTATGCCCTATTCTACTCAGTTTCTGACTTTTGGCTTTATTCTTACCCACATTTGGAATGTCAACTCTCCTCCCAACACGTTCATTGGCAGAATGTGGAAATAGTGTCATGCCCCTT